TTGCCAAATTAAATGGCCAATTTAGCGAAAATTGTGCGAAAATGTTTTTCACTGTGGGGTCAGCCGGGGCCAAAGTGATGACTTGCCCCGCCTGAGCCCCATCTGAGCCCCTTCTTGCCCCGCCTGAGCTCCACCATGCCCTGTGGGCATGGTGGGGCCCGGAGGGGCTGGTGTTTCAAGGGACCCTTGCGCAACTGATGGTTTGGTTCTGGTAGAATGACTTGGCATGCTAAAACACATTCTCTCGATTTAAACTTGCTGATATATTCTAAGTTGCGTAAAAATTTACAGTCCTTACAGCCGACTAATATATGTAGTTTATTAGTGGATAAATAAATGTTCCTCTTTACAGGAAATGGAACCTGACACCATTTAATGTTTAACAATTTGTCTTTCACCTTATTAAGCGACTCGAAAAACGAACATGACAAACGGATTTTACTTACGCTCAAATACTTCGGGTGCCATATACCTAACGGATCCCTGGTGCGAGGTTACATCTTCGTCCTCTTCTCGGGTAGTTCCAAAATCACACAGCTTAAGTGAGCGACAATCGTCAAAAAGGAGCATGTTCGCTGGTTTAATGTCACGATGGATCATTGGTGGGTTACAATGTTCGTGAAGATATTCCAGACCGTTTGCTGCGTGCAGAAACCACAGGAATGTGTGAGACATTGTGTACTCTACTTGCCAGGGTTTACCGACTCTTTTCTCGAAGCGTGCTGTACGAACTATTGGAATGTTACAAATAAGAGCTGGTTAATGTCCCTGGAAATTGCGAGTGGGTTTTAAAACGGCTTTTTGCACCTCATCAGCTTTCCATACCACAAACTTACGGTGTTCTAAAGAGGAATTCCGGGCAAATTCAATAACGATAAACTTAAGGTTTTTCCCTGTAGGACATGGGCCAGCGCCGATAAGGCCCACAATGTTAGGGCTGCGACATTCCATCAGACATATCAGCTCGCGATAGTTGGATAACCTGTTATTCTGGTTCAGCACTTTAATTGCAACCAGATTGCCTCGGAAATCCCCCTTGTATATTTTCCCAAAATTTCCATTGTCTATTGCAGTCTACATACATATTAAAGAATGAAAACCAGTACCTTTCCGGTATCGCGAAGATCCTCTTCGGTAATTCTTAACACCTTCCTGGAACGCAAAACAAGCTTTCGGAGTTCTTCATTTTGTTTCCTAAAATATAATAGTAGAGATTATATATGTTTTAATAACATCCTTAATTGTATCCCAATTAATTTTTATTTCTGAGAATACAAAGTCACTTCTTCCATTATGGAAATAGCGAACTGCCTCGAACTTACTTTTTTGTATCGTCAATTGCCATGAGCTTGCGCCGATTCGAAACGCCACCATTTAGTTGTACAAGACGTCCTTGAACAATATAAATAAACAAATGGCTTAATAAATAAATTTATATATTTAAAGCACCCAGACGCACGATGAAAAAACTGTTTTCAGAAGTTCAGTAATAAAAATTCGCACATTTTTCTTTTGTTTAAGCACCAATGTAGAAATGAGTAGTAATGTATGCAAAGTATTTCACATGCAGCGGTGATTTACCCTTTTAAAACAATAGTTAATAGTCTTTTGAAAATAATTTTTAAATCTGAAAACAGAAACCAAAAACCTACGGGAATGCGTAGCGAGCCCCTTTTTTCAAAAAACGGTAGGGGAAATAAAGTGTTTAGAAAAGCGATATAGATGAGGAGGGTAGACTGATACACTAATGGCAAACCATATTGTGGATATTTAACACAAGTATAGTGTGCACATGATTGCTAGTTAACATGGTAATCCATTAGAAAGATCTCAACATCTTCGGAATCAGTACGTGATTTTGATGGTGGTTGGCAGCAAAGGAAATGGTAACGGTTTAAACGAACCGAAAACGAAGGCACTTGATTGAAACTCTTAAATTTTTATCAGCCAGCGCGTGGTCAAACCTTGGAACTCACTACCGAGGGTGACAAATTGGGCTGACAGCATTGTTGATTTTGACAGAAGACTTTATGGCATGCTCTTTGACATTAGGCGACTAACGTAACATGCTTTCTTCTTGCGAGCCTTATAAAAATAAACCCTGGCTTTTATAGATGACAAATGAGGCCACAGCGTGCTGCCGCACTACATTTTTATGGTCTGTCAAAGACCG